AGCTCCTGCCTCCTGTTCCATTGGATGATTTAGATAATGACGCAGGAACAAAGCAAAGATGGGAGGCTGCCACTGATGCCCTTGACCTGTACTTAAGATTAGAGAAGGGTTTGATTAGTCCAGCTGGACTGTACAGAGCTACAGAAAGCCCTGGGAATCTGTATCTGCTTGTTAGAGGTAAATATCACACTGTACTCTTGAGAATGGGTCACTGGGTTAAACCTTACGCTGGTGTCTGTGCTTTCATCTGGCCCCCAGCAGAGCAGAGGCAGGATCTGATCTGATAAAGTCAAAAGAACAAGCAAACTAGGGTAACATTCCCCTGTTTTCTGCTACTAGGTTCAGAGTAGGCGGAGAGAAAGAGATGCAAGTATGCAAGATTGAATGATGTGCTGGTGTTCCTCAGCTCATTTGGACCTCCCTGATGTCTTTGATGGCTGCTCAGGGCCACAGGGTGAAGTGATGGAGATCGAAGGATTGTCCCCTGTGATCTCTGGTTCCTTTCCCACCAAACATTTCCTTTCCTCTCCTTCCACGCTTACACTCTGATATCCCTTTTCTTCACTTTTTTTTTCACATTTTCTTCTCAGCCTCTCATTTCCAAAAATGTCTTCATTTCTTCCCAAGAACCAAGCCCAGTAGTAAGAGCTGACACAAGGGTCTGATTTGTCAGGGTCAGTGTGATCCAACGATCCATCAGATCCATCAGGCCGATGTTTCGACTCCTGTGGGACTAGGCCTTTGTTTTGCTAAGCCGCTGATGGAGGCAAACCCTCTGTTGGGGAAGCCATTAAGGGCGCAGCAGGCCCAGAAAAATGAGCTGCCCTTGTCACTCCACATCAGGAGCTTGGCCACGGTCGAGGATCCTCCTAAGACGCCGTCACATTTGACCACTGTTTGTCCAAGCCTTTGAACTAGGGACAACTAGATAGATGGATGAATGAGTCCATGTGTGAAGAGGCCATGGGGCGCTACAGTTCTGGATTGGTGATGAGTGCTGGATTGTTATCTAAAGTTGGGGTGAGGAAAGATGATAAGTGAAGAGGAGGTGATGAAGGTGACTTGTCCCATAGCGAAGTCAAAGAGCTGCTTTGGTGTGGATATGTTGCCAGTGCGAGAGATGCAGTAAATCTTGAAGTATTATTGTCTTTAATTTTTTCACATTATGATGTGTCCAAGGTGTTTTTGTTTCAAAGTATTTCCCTAGAATATGTTCTTTCAGATATTAACATTTTTCTCCTGAACAATCCTGTGTTTTGGTGTTGGAGCACCATTATTGGGCCACTGGAGTTTACAGATGTGAATGAGGCTATGTTTTTCATTTTTATCCTCTCTCTTTTCTTGTGTATAAGTTACAATATTGTGAATCCTTTCTAGGAATAACTGTCTAAAAATATTTGCTGGTATCCCCACATTTAAATGGCCTGTTGAGAAGAGCTATAAACACTTTTGGTGCAGAAGTCAACTCATTGAGAAGGGAAATGCATTTTCTTTTCTAGTTTTCAGAGGTGGGGGAGCTTTTCGTGGCCAACAAACCGTTCTTTCTGTTTAAAAACTTAAATTTCAAAATCCTTTGAACGTCCATCCCTCTCCCATTTCTTATTGACTCATTTCAGAGCTTTCTCTTTGTACTTTGTCTCTAAACCCACTTCATACTCTCTTTGTTCCATGACAGCGATGGACCACCTCCACCTTGCATGTCATGGCCTCAGACTAAACATACTCCTCTGGTGTTGATGCATCAGTTTAGCGGTTGCCTCTAACGTTGCCAACTTATCTCATTAGAAAAATAATGATTTCACTGCCTGCCATTCCCACAGATAGGCTCACTATTTGTCTTAGGCTGCGCGTCCTTCGCTGAGCTGCCGGGCTTCAGGGATTGGCTGCCTCGGCCTTTATACCTGCCTGTCGTATATCAGCAGAACTGCCGCCGTCAAGCCCCTGATTTATGGCTGTTTATCTCCAGTCACCCCCACCACCCCCCAACCTCCAACAGATGGGCTCGGGCTATTTACTTAGGGGGAAAAAAAGGTCCCAAACCGATTGAATAAATACAACAAACAAGAAGTAATCATGGGGAAGTTGGTTGTGATTGCAATTTATTGGTCACCAGAGGCTACAGGAGTTTGATGTGTCCCTGTTGTTTATCAGGTGTGACACTGATCATGTGACTGAGATGAACCTGGCTGCGTTAAGTTTCCGTCTTATCTTAATTACTTTTTCTGCTTCAGTGTGTGTGGACAGCTCTGGTCAGTGTTGGCCGTCATGATGATACCGAACATGGATTTACAAAAAGATCTGTTTTATTAAGAGTCCCCTTATGTGATTTATATTTATTAACAGTACAATTGTGAAAACATTCCTTCAGCTGTCATGTTCTACTGCGCTGTCACTTTAAATCACTGCAAGTATAAGCCTTAAATCTCGGAGGCTGTCAGATCTTCGCAGAGAAAAAAACACATTGCACCATAAATTGTCTGTTACAGACTTAGAGGGGCTTGAGTTGATTTCTGAGTCTCTGGAGAAAGGCCCTAAGTAATAACCCAAAGGTATCAATTTTTCAAACCACTATTGTTGTTACAGATTTTTTTGTACCTGTAAGTATCACAGAGCTTTTTTTTTCTCAATGTGATGGATATAAACCAGATTTTGACCCTTGCACCTGTGAGTCATGAATTACGCTTCCTGTCTTATGTTTCTCATAATCTGAAGTTAAACGCTTTGAAAACGATTTTGGGAAAAAGCGCACAGAGACTATTCTGTAACATCCTCCTCTGTACATTGCATTCCACAGAGACACGTTGATACACCATGCAGTGGGATTTATATTTTGTCAGGATTAAAGTGTGATAAATGTTTCCTCTCTGTGCGTAAGAGCCGAAAGCAGCAGACCATTATTCACATGGAGACGCTTCTCGTCTGTGTCTGAGAGCGTCAGAAAAATGTGTGCCAGTCAGATATTCTCACGAGCAGACTGGTCGATGTGTCAGTGCCTCACAGTTGATATAAGTAATAAGATTAATGTACAGAGTGAGGTAGGTGGGCTTCATGATGAGGTGAAGTTAGCAGTCGTCACATCTCACTCATCTACTGAGCACAGCCAATTACGTCTTATCTCAACTCTGATTAACCAGTGATAGCACACAATGGATCCAGGCTCATTTTAACCACTGTAGATCCAGATGTGTAGAATTATAAGGTGCAGGTGTTGGCATATTTTTTTTTTATCTTTCTTATAGTCATGTACATTTATGAAGTAAGATCTGATATTTTGCACTAGAAACGCTGTTGAATTTAGGTTTCAATACATAAGAATGGACAACCAAATAATAACAATAATAAGCTTTCTTTGTAAAGCACTTCTCTTCATGAAATATTGTAGATATAAATATATATATATATTGTAGATATACATAGATATATGTAGAATATAAAACCACAATAAAATTCTATTTGTTTTTCAATATTTAAAAGTAAATAGAACACATTAAAATTCACCCAGAGATTCAATCAGTAATAGGTGTAGCATAATGTAGCTAAATAAAACTACGACTAAATCTAATCATGATTGATTACATTTTTAAATCCATTACAATCATGATAAATTAACATGTTTTAAAACGTGTGAACAAGTTAATTGCATGCATACATTTTTTTTGCTAATAAACCAATTACTGGAATCATTCTTTGCTGCGTTATGATTTCTTTATGCACAGAATGAGAAATGTTATGTTATGTAATATAATATCGAACAGGTTTCTCCATCAGGCTTTCAGATACAAACTTGTAGCATCTACAGTATTTGAACGTTGGTCCCCCTTAATGATAAGCATGATGTGTAGAGGTCTGCACTGACCCACTGGTGTCAGCTCCTCTGGGACATAAACTATATTCCCCAGGTCCCCACTCAGCTCATAGTCGGCCCACACTGAGAGACAGAGACACATCTGGAGCCAATTGTTGAGAAAGAGGAAATGTCCTTGTCAGAATCAGACCTACAACCTGGTTAATATGAGACTGAGCTGCTCAGCTTGCCACACTTAAGCTAAAAGTGGTTTAAAAGGTGGTGTCTGGTTGTGCCATTAATTGTGTGAATCAGTGCATCTCTGAATATTCAGTCAATCGGTGTTAAATGAAATTTCTTCTAAAACCCCTTTTCCATTAATTACATTTTTTATGGACCCTCCAATCTTAGTTTCCAAAGCTTTTGGTCAAGTCCAGGCTACACCTCCTGACTCCCACACATGTTGCATTTATTATGATAGTAGACCAGACCCCCCCCCCCCAACCCACATCCAGCAGCCCCTGTAGCTGGCACAGACAGACGGGCGATGAGCAGGAAGGAAATTACCTCATGTTTGGTCCGAGCTTGGCAAAACAAGCCAGGGAAACATTTTTAATTTGCACAGAGTTAATTCATAGAAATATAAAAGATGAACTTATTTTAAAGACGTGGATTTCCATTGCTACAGGCGAGTGGATATGAGGGAGATCTGGTGTAAAGCATGTGCCTGAGTTGTTTCATTTTGCACTCAACACTCAGGAGTTTAATTTCAGTATTAACAGTAAAATATTTACATGCACACTTGTTGATTTTCACTTACTGTTAGTTGGTGTGGATTTGGGGCTGCACAGATTAAATCTTAACGTGTGTGCTGTGTCAAAACCTTGAAGATTTCTAGGTTTCAGACCTGCTGCTGTTAGTTTAGCTGTGGTCACAGAGAATACAGATGTCACTCACATTGACTTAGGAAAATGCAGAGCAGCCAAAACATAAAGTGGAAATGTTAACCCAATAACGCAAGATAAACAGTGAGAGGAGAGGAGCCAAAGACAACAGAGGGCGAAGGGAAAGTGTCCTGCTGGCATCAGGTTTCCCAGAGTAAGTGTTATTTGAAAAGCAGCTGAAGGGTGACACTCACTCTCCTCCCACCTCCGTTCTCCCTCTCTCCCTTCCTCCCCTCTCTCACTCGACCATCTGTTGTTCTCTCTCTTCTCAGGCTGCTCTAAGTGCCTTGAAACAGCTGTCGGAGCAGGGACTGGACCCGGTGGACGGCCCCATCAAGGTACGGTAGAACACGGATCTAACTCCACACTCGTGCAGTGTTTTACCAACCGGCCAATCAGGGTGAATATGAGGAACCAAATATGTGTGTGTGTGTGTGTGTGTGCGTGCACCAATCTGGCCCATTATAAATTCTCAGTGGCCCATCATCTGCTCCCCACCCACACACACGTCCCAACATTTCCGCTCGACATTTCTATTCCATAGGAGAGCAACGGTAGGCGTATATATTTACATGTGCCACGCTCCCGTCAGTGCTCGATGCTTTGCATGATGGCTATCAACCACCGGGGCTCAGCTCTGACAGAGAAGAGGGTTTTCTCCGACCTACCCCCCCCCTCCCTTTCCTCTCATCCCCGTTCTCCTCCAAGAGAAGCAAAGAGAGGAAAGGAAGGAAGGATGACAGCGGAGAGTGAAGTAGGAAAGCAGGGACCCCGTGTGAGGAAATCACTGTCCAGCACTTCTTGGGTATTTTCATAGTAGGTGTGCCCTGGGAAACGTTAAGGCACGGGTGTTCTCTTGCAGCCCAGCGTCTCATTTAGAGCGAAAGAGCAATGGAACAAAGAGAGGAAAGAGCCTTTTAACAACTTCATTTACGTCAGAGGAGAGGGCAAATATGACAGCAATTACACTTTCACCTGAGCAGTTAATCACTTGTTTCTCACCCTAGTCTTTACTCTCTTGGGCTCCATCCATTCAGTCACATTTTCATTTGAATACGCATCAGCTCTGCTACGGATACAGCTGGTGTCCACTCTGCTCATATGGATGTAGCCTGGAATACAGTCATTCACCAAGGCCTTGCCTTTCGTCCATTCTTGGTCATTCAGCCTCAGATTATTATAGTTATCAGTATGGAAATTGGCTTGCATGCAGCTGCTTTTCTTGTGACTGCACCCCCCACACACTATCACTCCGTTTTGATAAAAGCACAGCTGATCAGGTAGTGTGAAACAGAGTGAGGTCAAGGGCTTGTTAAGTGTCTGGAGTCGCGGCTGTCCCACTTTCGTTTTTTCTCTCCTCTAAGTTTTCTTTTTGCGAGAATCTCCTATCTTGTTTGGAAAGAACTGGAACAAATTACCCAGAGCGGGACTGATAACTCACAACATTGCTCCAATTTAGTCCTTGGACGGAATCCGTCCCTAACTGAGTTTCATCTGTCTTTTTCAGACCAGTGAACCATGTGGGAGGGAGGACGGACATTAAACAGACTAACTCAGGCACCACCACTCAGGTCTGCAAGGATTCAAAGGCTGTCGTCAAGGAGCTGACATCCCCGACCCCCCCCCCCTCCTTTCGGCATACACAAACCTAACAAACCCACCCCTACCTTCCCACCCTTCTCCCTGATCTCCCATAACCTGCAGCAACAAACTACCCCCCACTACTCCCCACTACCCCCCCACCCACCCATCCCACCCTCTCTTACCTCTCCACGTCTACCCCTTTACCCCACGATCGCCACTGTATCCTGCAAAACCTGTCGCCATGCAATAGGGTGGATGTGCACCGAGAAATGACCGACTAAAACACCATTACCTGAGTCTATGTGAAGACAACGCTATCTTAACACGTTTATCGCTGATTTCAGTCAAAATTTAGAGACAAAAAAATAAAATAAGTGAAATACAAACTAATGAGATAAATGCATGGTACTGTATGAAAATCATGGGAAATCCAAAGTGATAGACACGTTTCCCTTTGGTTAAATGTCTGTTGGTATGGTTAAACAAATATGTACATCATGCCATTGAAATACAACCGAAACATTTTAGGGGAGAAACCAACTTGCGTACAGTAGCTTATTTTTTCGGGGGTATTATGTTTCGTTTCCTTTTTCTTTTTTTTTTTTCTTTTTGTTATTTTATTAACCTAACAATGCTTGAGTACTGTATTTAAAATTAACCAATGCCAGTGCTGTGAAAGTTGTAGTTGTTGTCTTCATATATAGTCACCCAGCTTACCTTGTATGCTGACATAAAAAAGAGTTCATCTATCTATATGGATGTGTATGACTTGCAAGAGTATCATATTCCGAAAAATAACCGAGAAAAGTTTTTTCATGTGGACAAAACGGACAAAACTGGTGTTAGCAGTAATCAGTAGACGTGCTGACCGGCCCAGGAGTGAAGGTTGGACCAACATTTAGTTCCTGAAGGGTCTGCCTGTCCTTTTTTAACATGACCCCCACCCCCCTCCACACACACACTGGCATAGCATCACTGGAGCATCACCTGACCAACGGCGAAGACCGAGGGGACGACACAGTTGTACTTTTTAACTAGATAAAAGAAAAAAAAGAGGCCAGTTGCATCGACAGTGGCTCGTCTTTCGCACATTCTCTCAACGCCAGTAAACTTTTAACGTAGAGTCCAAACTCCGCAGAGTTTTGTACGGCCTGCATGTCCTCCAGTGGAGAAAAAAAAAAAAGAAAAAGTCCTCTCCGTTCCAGTGATTTTGTGTCAGTGGATCTCCCCTCCTCTCTCCCTCCCTCTCCCCGTCCCACAGTTTTGTCGATCACATCTACACCCATTGTGTGTGTTGTATTGACCCACTGAGGCATCAACTGGGTGCTTTTAACGCCTGCATTCTGGAGTGCACCTCTGCAGAGGAGAGAGGGAGCCTGCGTCCGAGCCGCAGACTCCCCTCCCCTGAAGAAGGGCACTGTATGAATCACTTTGTTCACTGACATTGAGGATGTGTCTTCTTCTTTGCTGTGAGTGCAATGTGTAATAAGGCTGTTTCTGTTATTGAAATGCAGTAAAAACACCTCAGTTCATGTGGATAAACTGTGTCACGCCTCTTTCTTCTACAAGTGTCAAAACAAACATCTCTGAATAATGAACACTGTTTCATCTCGTCATAATTTTGCACCTATTCTAAAGACACAAGCTGAATTAAAGTAGGTGAAAATGAGGAACCATGTGATGACAGTAGCTGTAGCACGGTGTTGGATATTAAAGTCTGAAGGGGTGCTAACTCCACAATCTGTACAACATGAAATAATCCTCAAAAGTCCACTGATGTGCTTTTTCCAGTATTTACAACCACATCATCTGCAAACTCTGGAAAATATCTGGACCCGATAATCTGGACACTGTCTGAAAACGTTTAGTCAAACTGAGATTTAATTCAAATGACCAAATGATAAATCTCAAATATTTTCTTAAATACATTCACCTCAACACAGAAATCCTATCTTATGTATTTGTGTTTTACTTGTTGGAAGCATGTCTTAATGCATTCTGTCAACAAATGAATCATAAATAATATAAAAAGGATGAACGATTGTGCTTTTAACAAACCAACAGTCTGCAAATCCTGTCGCAACACATGATCATCTACTGCTTTATCTAAATCTGGAGCAAATACAATTTTACTTAACTGATGAACTCTGATGAAATGAACGCATCTGCCACCCCAGCTCACCATGGTTTTTTATATCCGTAATATCTTTCACTTCTTAAGTCAGAAATCTGTGGATGTTCAGTATTTTCTTTATTGCTGCAGCAAATCGTGTGAAAAGACCAAAAACCAATAACATGTCTCATGATACTTTATCACTCTCCCACCATGTGTGTGGCTCACAGCTCAGGCCCTTTGCTTTTCAACAGTGTTGTTTCATGTGAATGTTCATGAAAGAGGAGGACGTGCTGGGGACTGTTATAAACCATGGATTCACACCCTCAAGTGACTTTACAACGATTCTGCAAACACTCATACATTGATCAAGATCCTCATGTCATTCTCTGAGAAATCAGTGAAAATGTCAAAAATGACTCATCTTGCAATGTTAAAGGATCCTGGATCTGCATCTGTGTCTGGATCTGCGCCAAAATTGAATGGGTTGGCCAATGTCCTAAGAAAATTGGTTTAGTAGTTTTGGTGTCATCCTGCTGACATTCAAACGGAGGTGATAAATGACACAACCAAGGTTTATTGTAATTGTCATCCAGCACAATGGTGCGGCTCACTGATTTGTTTCTGTCAATAAAGACGGCCTGTGGCACAGAGGTGATATCAGACCTTGGCTACACTTGACAACAGTAGAGATTATATAATATAAGTGGATTTATTATGCACGTTGTTCAATATGTACATAGTTAAATGGCACAAAATAACAGATCGCTGTCTGAGGACAAAAGCTTTTTCATCTTGTCCTTCGCTGTTTGATGAATGAATAGTTACATTATTCCTAACGCCATGTCATTCTGTTAATTTACACTGGAGACAAACCTCATGCTGTAATTCTTGTCGTCACATAGGGAAAGAAAAGCTCGCTCTATTTCCTAAGCGGAGGGACTTAATCTTTACCTTTCAGCTGGTCTGATAGCTCATGGTGTGTGTGTGTGTGCGCTCTCTCCTTATCTCTGACATTCTTCTGTTGAATCACTCCATCACCTTTACTCACTTCCTGCCTGCACTACCTGTGCCGTCCTCCGTTCTCTGCATCACCCAACCCAACCCCGCTCCCTCTCCCATTAGCGAGATGAATGAGCAACCGGGCGCTCTAATTGGGCTCTCCGCTGACTAATGGACTCAGCTGGCAGCTACATCTGCTCAGCCCGCCGAGGAGGAGCGCCAAGGCCGTTCACACGCATTAGCTGGAGATCTCTATTCCAGAAGCTTGTTCAGGTAGCGTGCGGACCAGCTTGAGGCCGCCTTACACCCATGATGAATTGCCTCGCTCTGACCGACCAATATGGGAATTGAACCTTACCGCCCAAAATAGAACAAAATCAATGGGGCTGTGGAGCTCGTCGGTGCAAAGCAAAAGCAAATGCTGGAGTCATTGATTTTTCCATCTGAATTATGTCCCATCAACCCTTGAACCCCTGAAGTCCTCTAAATTACAGCTGTACTAACAGGAGGATAAAAGAGTGAGAGGAATCCGATAGATACTGATCAATGTCCAAGCATTGATGTGAGCCAAAACTCCTAATAGTTTTCTTTCTTTGATGAGTGAAAAGGATTTTTTGGGCCTGTTAATAGCAGTGTTTTTCCAGCTCTGTGCAGTTCTAACAGTAGCTGGAAGAGGCTGCAGTCGGTGCTGATTGCTTCTGTACACAGAGGGATCGAAACTGTCAGTACAACTCTCCCTCATATTAGAACTAATCTCCCACTGAGCAACTTTATCCAGCCCTGATTAGTCATGGCAGAGGAGCGCTGCGTACTGAGGGGCCGAAGCTCTGACATCTCCGCGCTTCCCCCCGTAATGCTTCGTGGAGGCTGGCGAGGAGCTGATCACAGCGAGCAGTCGTCTGGAGGATGGGTGTATTCACCGCCGCTGTAATCGGTTTGTTATGTGGAGAGATGAGTGTCTGCTGTCACACTGATGCACGTGTGGAGGATCGCTGTAACTCCCTGTTCCATGTTCTCTGTTTGACATCCAGCAGCTCGAGGAGGTTTTTTTACAGATAAAAAATTAGATCAGTGAATTAGTTCAGTTCCAACAGATGAATAATTCTACTTTGTTCCTGTGAATAATTTCCTCATGCTGTTAACTAATGAACATATTCATTGTCAGATTAGTGTATTTTCTGTGTGGTCGGAGCTTCAGCAGCTCCCGACAGCTTCTAATCTGTTTATGGTTTTATAAATCTCCGTTTTTGGTATTAAAGGGAAATAATCTCCTGACGTTCTCTGGAGGGGCTGTGTGTGACAACGCAAATGTCCAAGTGAGAGGCTCTGGACTTTCTCCGGAGTTTCTCCTGCCGGTCCACCTGTAAAAACTCCAAACAATGTCTCAGTGAGCCCGTGTGAGAAGCTCCAGATCCTCCGCAGGATTCACTGCAAGCACGTTAATGACATTTTCAACATTTCAAAACTGAAAATCAAAAACAATACAAGTATCTCAGGATGAAAAAGTGATGCACGTGAAGACGCCAACGAAGAGAGTCAAGAGAGTTTTTGGTGTCGATGTGATGGAAACAAAAACATGTGATCAAGTAATATTCATCTACACATTTACAAACATGGTACCCAGGTTGGAAAATACCGTACTCCCTCTTTAAGACACATGTCTGATGTCAAATCCTACGCTGGTTACGGTCTGTGGAGAATGAATGGAAGGTCTGAGACAGGACTCACAGTGTTTGGAGACGTGGCTGTTTGCATGACCCTAACTGAGATACACAAAGTTCAAACCTTCAGGCTCGAGGCTCATGATCTTAACATTCCTCAAATGTTCTGCAGATGAGAGGGAAAAACCCAGAACTGTGTGTGTGTGTTTTTATTTGTTAGATTCATTTTTCTGTTGAGCATCAGAACACAAACAGGAAGATGTTTCTGAGGAGGAGATAAATCTTCTTTTA